GAATTGAGAAGAATGGCAATCATCTGACTCTGAATCTCCTCCCTTCCCTGACTCTTCCCCACCTCTCAAAGAAAATATAAAAATCAACAAGGAGAACAAATAAAACAATACAGAACCTATACCTTCAGTATTAAGAGGAGACAAAAAACAATGCAACCTCCAAATTACCTGTAAGTAGAGATAAAAAGAAAAAATTCTAATAGATTTCCTGTCGCTTTCCAGATGCTGCAAATTTGTAAGGGTGGAAAACGGGTAAGGGGGGGGGGCCTAAAAGACTCCATGAGAAAAAATAGAGTGTATCAGAGGAGTTGGTAGGAGCACAGACAAAAATCATACCCAGAAAGTGAAAGTGCAACAATAAATGCAAAAAAACTGTGCAGGACTTAGTACTTCATAGCTCTGACTACAAGAAGAGGCTTGAAAATGGGTAGAACCAAAAACGGTAGCCTTGGAGAAGCACTGCTTCAGGGGATTATCATGTATATAGAAGAACTGGTACCTTTTGGAAAGAAAGCAGTGAAATGAAGAATGAAATAAGAGAGAAATTAAAGGATCTATAGAAATGAAACATAACAAGACATGCCACCCCTCTCCCCACCAAAAACACTACCATTCATAAAACAAGTAGCACAGAAGCAGGTAGAAGTAACAGAAGAGAGCACTCTCAAACTAGGAACCCCTTCCAAGTAATAAATAGGAATAGAAAAAATAAAACCAAATCCATTAAAAAAAAAAAAAAAAAACTACTGCAAAAAGTCAGAAAATGCAAATAAAAGCTTTTCTGCTGATAAAATGTGTTCCTTAGAAAACCAACCATGATCCTGGAGAAAAATGTGACATATTTTAAACTGAATTAAATATCCTCAAGCAAGCATTTGGGGATATGAAAAAACAACCTAGATCAGAAATACAAAAAACAAGAAGAAATGAAACAACAAATGACCAAACTCAGGAAAGAAACAGAAAAGCAAAAAAGAAAGAGAAAACAAAGTTACAAGGTACCCAAAGGAGAACAGAGAGTAGACTCAAATGGAAAGTTAATAAGGGCATTAAAGAAAAGGAGAAAAATAATCAAGGGAATAAAAACGAAATAAAGAAAAAAGTCAGAGATAAGGGATCAGAGAAAAGGTAGTTGATATGGAAGATAGGCAAAGGAAGTCAGACATATACGTTAATTGGTATCCCTGAAACAGAAAAATTAAAACAATGAAAAAACCCTGAATATTTAACACCACAATCCAAGAAAACTTTGCAAAATAAAAGAAGGCCTGAATTTACACATAGAAAGAGTTCACCAGGTACCAGTGCAAACTGATAGAACCACCAACTCTAAGACATAGCCTAGTAAAATGATTAGACTTTAATGATAAAGAAAAAAGTTCTCAGGGCCTCCAGGAAAAAAGACCAAACAACCTACAATGGCAAGAGAATCAGACTGGCATCAGACTCCTTAGAACGACGTACAAAGCCAAGGCAACAGTAGAGCAGCATTTTTAAGAAACATGAAGAAAGTGTAACCCCAAGATGATATATCCATCCAAGCTGTCCTTTCAGTTTCAAGGCCATAGAAAAACAGAACATTCCAGAACTCAGGAGATACACAAATGTGTCTTTCCTGAGAAATCTACTGAAGGATGAGTAGACAAAAGATGACTGATAAAACTTCATAAAATGACTGATGGTGAGCATGTCAATGTATGTGGTTGTAGAGCAAAGACTAAAGCCCTTGAGTCATGGGTTATAAATGAAAAATGTACTTTTAACTATTTTTTAAATAAGCCAATCATTATAAGTTACTAAGTACATTCCACATACTAGGAAAACAATGTAAAGTATTTCAAATACTTTGAGTATTTATTATAATTTTCATTATATTGATCATGTTATAGCATCTAAAATGGGAGGAAGCTGCTTAGTGAAAAAATCCTTATGAAAAATTCATAACACAAAACAGACAAAAACATTAAACTTAACATGGTCAATCACACGTGGAACTTAGTGGGATATGAGGTAAATAGGCTTTATGATGTTAATACTTTCAAGGTTGTCATCAAATGATTTATATGAAAAGAATTTTTTTTTATGTTTGGGAAAAAAAGTTTATGATTTACATTTAACAGCAGCAGGTTATTACTTAAACCCATTACAACCAGACCTACTGCCGGTGAGTGAAGTTCAACCCATAACAAACCTGTAGGACAGAGTAAAACTGTCCCACAGAGTTTCCAAGGCTGTAATCTTTATGGAAGCAGACTGCCACATCTTTCTCCCACAGAGTGGCTAGTGGGTTAGAATCATCAACCTTTTGGTGAGCACGCAAGCACTTAACCACTGCACCACCAGGGTTATTACTTAGCTAGTACAAAATAGCACATAAAAATACATTTTACAAAAGAATATTTCACGTAAATTTACTTTCTCAATCATACTGTCTCCTGGCCTATATTAAAATGACTCTAAATAAACATACATACAGAAATGGGGATTAGGGACTATAAATATGCTTGTAAAAAACATTGATACCAAAATAATAAACAGTCATAATAATAGTAATATAACTTTTGTTGAGTATTTAGTTTGTTGTTGTTGACTACTTATTATATGCTTATAAACTGCTCAGAATAATCTTATTTAATCTTCACAACAACCGTATGGAGACAAATACTTTTATTATTCCCATTTTATACCTGAGGACTTTGGGCATAGTGACTTATAACTTACACAAAGCGATACAAATTTAAGTGGTGGAAACAGAATTGAAATTCAGATTTGACAGACTTCATGATTCATACTCTTAGTCAGCAAGCCATTTTACATACATATTTATAATAAAATCTCATTTAACTATAGAAATCTGGCCTGGTGGCACACTGATTAAGAGCTCCAGCTGCCAACCAAAAGGTCGGCAGTTCAAATCCACCAGCCGCTCCTTGGAAACCCTATGGGGCAGTTGTATAGGGTCACTATGAGTCAGAACTGACTAGATGGCAACGGGTTAATTTGGCCTAGTACATAAGCTATTTTTATAAAGCACATGTCCTATATCTTTTTGCTTACTTCACTATTATAATAAGTTTGCTTTCCTTAAATTCATATAATAATTTACTGTTGAGAGACTCTTTTAGATAAAAGTTCAAACTATTTTAAAAGGTGTGAAAATCCCAAAGTATCTCTCCAGGCACCCTGTAACCCTTACCTAGCCCTGCCGCCCATCCCTACTCCACAATTAAACTTTGTGTTCCAGTTACACTGAAAAACTGGCAGCTTCCTGAGGCACACACGTTTTTTCTCACTTCTAAGCCTGCATACGTGGGGCAATTCCCGCCCCAGCTTCCCTCAGTTCTACTGGAATTATTTTCTACTTATCAACCCTCAAGGCTCACTGTAGGCATGGCCTCCCTGGGGAAAGCTTCTTAAGCACTCACCAACCTGACTTCATTTACATTTCTCCAGCATTTACGTCTGTCATAGAATTTATCCTACTGTTTTATAATAGTCCATTACTATCAGCATAGTACCCAGCAACCAGAATTTTTAAATGCTACGTTATGGGATAAAAAAAATTTTTGATGAAGTTTCTTGAAAAGATAATTTATACTTATAGAGTTGACTCCAACTCTATTGTACATCAATAGCATATTTATACATTAATAGTATAATTAATAACTGTCAGTTTTAGCACCTATTTGCTATTCAATTTAACATTTGATGGTAAAAAGTTATATTCTTTTAGTTAACTTTTAGATGATGCATTAGTACAAGAAATTCCAGAATAATACATATTAAAGAACTACGTTATTTTAAGCATATTGTTTTTCTTGTTAAAAATATAGCTGTTTGTTCATATAAGAGTATGCTGATCAGAAGAGGAATAAGAGTAAGTTCGTAAGATATCTTGACAAAAGTTTGCTGCAGAGTATCATGAAAAGATCTTAGCTATACCACTGGTCATTGGCCCAATAGGTAATCTTTAGCACGTCACTAAGAGACATATTTTTTTTCCTTCCTTGATGTTACTGACAAAGGTAAAATGTATGCCCTAACATCCTAGTTCATTATAATTGCTCTTTTATCCACGAATATAGCTAAACGTTTCCTGAATCTACCTCTTTTTTCAGCTTGCACCATTTTCTGAAGTTAATAATGAGTTCCTCTGATAGTTTAGAAACAGTTTCTTGTTTTACTTTATCTTATTTCTCTGAATTCAAGAAGTGTCCCTCTCTATCATTCTAAGCACTGAAAAATAAGTACATCTTCACCTTATCCGTATAATTTACAGTGCCTACATCAGTTACTTTCCAAAACAGAAGAAAAAAGGCTAATCTTCTTCTGATCTGTAGAGATCATTAAATGTTAATTAAGAAAAAAGCATAAAATGTAAATTAAAAAAAATAAAAATTAAATGTTTTGGCTGAGATGAAAAACTATTCTAATCTACTCAGCATTAAATAACTAAGCAAAGATATTACTTTAATGAAAATTTTAAAGAACAACACAAGTTGAAATGATATATGAATCAACAGAATTTTAAATTACATTTTTCCTTTAAAAATCAAATAGTAAATAACAAAAGATATAAATACAGACAAACAAGGCAATAAAACAATGTTTTATTAGTCTTTTCCCCTGATCATTCTGATAAGATTAAAGAATACTATAACATAATATGTTAAAACAAACCATTTAAACTCTTAACAACTACCCTTCCTAAAATGATTGATTAAAAACTCTAAAAGGAAAATCAAATAAAAACAAAAAGACCAAACTATCTCTAGAAATATAAAAAAGCAAAATGTAAGAGGACATTTAATAAAACGTTCTCATGATTAAAAACTTTATGAAGTAGCCAAGTTAAAATAATCTTTAAAAAAAAATCATCATCCCTGAAATATATAAAACATGTCTTTCTTCCAAAGATCTGATATCACAGTATCACAGACTTTCACAAAACTGAGTTACTAACCTGTATTTTTTCCTAATAAATTTGCAGTTATATTTACCTTCAGATCCCATGATGAAGTGATGGATATCAGGGCCTGTTGACATACGAGGTCCTTGACAGCTTTTTTCTATTACACCTCTAGGTGTTACCATTTTCATATGAACCACCTGTTTAATACAATACAGGATGTAAATTCTAGACATCTGTCAATAAATTATGTGTAGGTGTGTATATGTACACACACATATATATTTATGTAAAACAATACTTTTTAAATATTGGATTAAGTGATAAATCGTGATACCCTTCAGAATTCTAATATCCTTCAATAATTCTTAAAGGTAAATTTAGTATATAACTTTAAAAGAGGGGGAAAAATCATTCTAAAATTGTACGCCTCTTGTTTTAAATTGCTTTGGTATATTCATCATCTTAAGAATTGAAAAACGCATTTCTTTAAACTAAATTTAATGGAGGGTTATCCAGATGGCAATGAATTAAAGGACCCAAGAAATAGGCAATGATCATATCTTAAAAGATTCATTCTTCCATTTATTTAACAATATTTATGGAGCACTACTATTCTGTCAGGAGCCTGGGTAGCACAAGTAGTTTGCAACTGGCTAATAATCTAAAGGGTGGCGGTTCAAACCCACCCAGTGGCTCCATGAAAGAAAGGTCTAACAATCTGCTTCTGTAAAGACTACAGGCAAGAAAACCCTGTGGAGCAATTCTACTTTAACATATGGGGTGCCATGAGTCAGGGACTGATTCAATGGCAGCTAACAACAACATTATTGATTTTCCATGCTCTAGATACTTACAATTAATTCTAAGGAAGAAAGTTTTCTCACCTTATCCCCACCTTCAACCTATCTACTCTACCCACTTAGCAGAAAAGAGTGGAAAGAAAGGTATATTAGGTAAGATCAGGACAAAACTGGGATGAAGAGGGAGATACAGTTAATCACTTAAAGAGGGGGAAAAAGAAAGATCTGTGCGATATATACGTCTCATACAGGTGAGAAAATAAGTATATGGGGGGAGGCTGTCATTCAGAATTATTTCCTGAGATCTGAATTAGAAACAAGTAAAAATGCAATAAATTTTTAGAATTTTTCTGACAGGTAAATGGCTATTTACTATTGAAGGAAACAAGAAAACATTAATGATCAATTCACAAAATAAGAAATAAAAATTATCAATGAGCACATTTTAAAAGTTTACATTCACCAGCAATTAAAGAAATACAAAATTAAAAGACAAAAAAAATTCAGTGAAACAAACATTCTCATATTACTAGTGGGGATGCCAACTGGTACAAAACTTCTATACAGCAATTTGGTTGTTAAGGACTTAAAAATGTATAAACTTTTTGATCTAACAATTCAAACTCCAGGAATTTATCCAAAAAAATAATTAAAGATGTATGCCAAAGAAATTAGTTCAGAGGGTTTTTCTCTTTGTTTTCAGTAAACTGAAATGGAAAACAATTTAAATGTTTATCAAAAGAGAATTGCATTAATAATGTCAAAACAAAAATCATATTAAGCCAATAACAGAAGTTGATAGAATTTCACTTAATAGACGATTTGCAAACTGGAGTAACACGTCAACTAAGGAGTCAAAGATTAAAGAACTTCCAAAGACTCTCATACCCCATGCTATCAACATTGCCACAGAAATAGGGTCAGAACAGTGTTTATGTATATAGCTGGGCTTCTAGTCTGACCTTGGAATTTCTGCACATAAATAATTCTTCAAAAGAGACCAATGCCTAAGGCAAATAGTCTTTACTAAGTTACTTACTAGGCTATTATTTGACTTAAAGGTGACTTTAGGAAACCAGTTTTCTCAAGGCTCAAAGTTCAAAAGAAGATCTCAGGTCACCACAATTCCATGGACCTCAGAAATCTGGATTATAGGAGAATTAAACTTTGTTTCTCAACAATTATCAGTAAAATAATTAAGCAGTCTTTCAAAATGATGGTGCAAACCTATGTTCATTTACATGTTGATAACATATAATTTAAAAAGCAGATTAAATACAGAATGATTCTTTTTTTTTTTTTTAATTAAAAGCTAGATATACACATTTGTTTGTGAGTATGCCTAGAAAAGGGTCTGGAAAGATGAATATGAACATGTTAAAAGTGTTAGAAGTAATTACATATATTTAGTATATATAGCATATCTGAATTTTTTGTACTTATATAATGAGTATATATTTTTAAAATAAGCGTATGTTTAATTGCTTAATTAAATTATTTGTATCACAGTTATGATTTAACAGAAGCATTTTCTTCAGAAAATTTTAAAAAATTAAATGCTCACTATATCATACTTTATTTCCTTTTGTTCTGTTCAGAATTTTTAGTTTGATTTTATCACTATAGTTTTGTTTTGGCTTTCTAACAGTGGAAAGTACAGCAAGGCACCTTTCATAGTAGCAATGGATTGGTGATAATGGGCACTGAGCTTCAGCTCTACAGCACCAGCATACCCCACCCATCCCACTGCCGTCAAGTTGATTCCGACTCATAATGACTCACAGGACAGAGTAGAACTGCCCCATAGGTAGGGTTTCCAAGCGGCAGCTGGTGGATTCGAACTGCCAACTTTTTTTTGGTTAGCAGCCTGAGCTCTTAACCACTACGCCACAGAAAGTTTAATCAGATATACTGAGGTAATCCTTTAGTGAAGAGATAAAAAATTCACTAAATCAAGAAATATTTAAGTTCAACTCTAATTAGCATTCCTTAAAATGACCTTGAAAACAAGTGGGGGCCAGAATTTAAGATAAGTTTATCACACTGTATACAGAAAGCACTTAAAACTTCTGAATGTTCAGACTATTATGTTAAAAACTGAGAGACTAAACAACTATCTTCAGCCTTTTTTCCAAACCAGGTAAGTCAGGTATTAGCATCATTACCTACTATACTTTAACTAAATATGCACTAACATTGACTATAGAAATATACTTACACCCTCAAAAAGATTAAATTTCTTTTCATGAGAGTTCTGTTAAGCCACTTAGATAAAAAGAGTATCAACTTTAGTAAAGTTTCCATAAAAGCAAGCAATGTAAATTAAGACAGTTTCAGAGGAACTATACATTGCAAAAGAAATTTAAGGTTAAAAATAAAATATGCTAAGTAATTACTAATGCAAAAAAATACATTAAGATGTATGTTTATAATTTGCAGCTCTTAAATCTCTCTCAAAAAATGATTAAAATAAACTATATGCTTCAGTAGTACTAAATGAAGCTGTCTATCAAATGTTTGCCTAACTCTGATAAAGATCTTAATAATCAATAGCAAAGGGATCAAATTCTCTCCTGAAACTGAATTTAATTCCAAAAAGAAAAAATGTAATTTGTTAATGTCCTCAATTAAAAGAAACAAACAAACACGACAATGTGAACATTTGAAAAATGTTCACAATATAACACTTAAAATGTCTTTAATTATTGGGTGTTAACTATAAAGAACCAATATATTTTATTAAAGATTTTATATTCCTATCGATCATAAGGATGAAAATGTTGAAACTTTAAATTTGAAAAGCAAAGCTCAACAGCTCCAGGTATAACGCTAGGAACATCACTCTAATAGTTTCATAAATTAAAGTTCTTTTAAACTACTATCAAAATAGCAAGGATTATGAAGCAACTACTACACACCAGGGACTCTTGATAAGAGTTTTCATTTTATGTCCTTTACACCTCATAATAATCCTATGTAGCGAATATCATTACTTTATTTTACAGAAGGAGTCACTGGGTGGTACAAACGGTTAATGTACTTAACTATTAACCAAAAGACTGGAGGTTCAAATTCACCTAGATGCACCTCAGAAGAAAGGCCTGGTGATCTACTTCAAATCAGCCACTGAAAAGCCTATGGAACACAGATTTACTCTGACACACACAGAGGGTCACTATAATTCAAAACTGACTTGATGGCAACTTTTTTTTTTTTTAAATTTTATAGAAAAGGATATGAAGTTTAGAAAAGTAAACCAATTTGCACAAGGTCAAAAGGCTAATCATTAGAAAAGCTACAAAGGGAACAAATAATACCTAATTGCTAAACAGGCTGCCCATATTTACACTACTATCACATTAATTCCCAGAGAACTGGCACTAGATTACCTAAAATAAAATAGTGTGCACATGAAACATTAAGCATCATTTTGCTACTCAGTAGAACATTTTCAATCAGGCTCTTCAAATCTATATAGAAAAAATTTTTTTCAGAAAAATAAATGCTGAATTCTTAGGCAACAGAGTATCAATGATGAGATCACATAAGTAAATGGACTATTATCATGGTAGCATTGAAGACTGAGTGTCTAAATGGCTTGTAACATAGTATTTATATACTTTAGAAATCAAATACATCTACAAAGTTTACATATTCGTCACCTGAAGAGTTGTTGTTGCTAGGTGCTATCAAGTTGATTTTCAGCAACCTGAGACACTCGTAAATAGTGACAACAGTTGCTTCTTTTAACTGCATCTATATATACTTAAACATATTTAAGGAGCTCTAGTGGTGCAGTGGTTAAGCTCTCGGGTGCTAACCAAAAGGCCAGTGGTTCAAACCCAACAACTGCTCTGCAGGAGAAGACGTGGCAGTTGGCTTCCTTAAAGATTACAGCCTTGGAAGCCCTATCGGGCAGCGTTAATTCTGTCCTATAAGGTCACTACGAGTTGGAATCGACTCAACAGCAATGGGTTTGGTTTTTGGTTTTGGTTTATATATATTTAACATTACTAGTTAGTCAAAAAGGGTATATTTTTTCAGAGCCTCACCATCCAATTCTTAATTTTTAAAGTCATTTAATCACTTTATAATAATCTCTGTATACTAATCAATTATTATATAATAATCAGAAAAAATTTACCAGGTCCTCAATATTGCCATAGATGTTCTTCTTCATGCCTGATGCCCGGGTAGATACCCATCCTCCCACAGTGCTGAATTCCAGGGAATCTGGTTCATGACCTGTACAATAACCACTTTCTTTAAGCTGAAAAACAAAAACGCAGTATTTCACTAGTGAAAATGGTCCCACTTCACACAGCACTCAACACATTAACCTTTCCTACTTAAAAAATTTCCATATGTCACTGGTATTTGGACTCATTAAAATCTGTATAGAAAAAGAAATACTCTTCCCATACTTGCCCAAAAAAAATACTTTTTAAGCTTTTGCTTTATAGAAGACTTTATAAACTAAAAAGTATGGGTCAAAAGACAGTTGTATAGGATCTCTAGTTTCTATAGGTTCACTAGACAGTCTCACTACTTATATCTTTTTGTTTAGCCAACCACCCCGTCTCCACTTTTTTCCCCATAAAAAGACAATTTAAATACTTATGGAGATCAGATTATGCTTAAGTAACTGCCAAATTCACCTAAACACTTTCAATAAATAAAGTACTTAATCTCCTGCTCTCCCTACCCTAATATAATATGCAGCAGGTCTGCAGAAAATCTGAGCAAATTGCCTGTACTTAATTCTCTCAAGGAGTCATGTGTTTTAATGTACAGCCATCTGGCTAGGTTTCCTGCATGTAATACCGTCATTTATTTGTGATGCAGATCATGCATTCCTGTACATTAGCCACTTGTTTCTCATTTTTCTATATTAGCTTGGCTTTGCCATCTGCATAGCACCTGAGGTTGAATGATGCCCTTTACTGAAACAACACCAAAGCCATTCCACTGAAACCATTTTAAAGACTCAGCCAGCTTGTGTCAAACATACAGACACCACCATCTGCATACCCACTCTCTACTGCACTCAAGCTCATCAATCTGTGTTGACCACTTTCATAGTTGTCCAGTTAGGCAACTGTTTCTATTTTTCAAATAAGCCAAGTAGAGATGTAGAACATGTCAGTTATATTTGTATCAGTGTATTTAAGTATGGTATGAAAGTTGTAATCCAAAATTTGAAAGCCCATTAGGTTAAATATAATTTATATAAGTTAATATAAATTTTCTACATTTTTTTGCTGTATCCCCATTCGATTTTCAAACAACAAATATTTATTGCCTACTACGTGCAGAGCTTTGGATACATCACTAAAACAATTAAACAAAAAAGATCCTAAATTGTGGAGCGCATGTTATAGAAAGAGAGGGGAACTAAAATTAACAATAAGATTTAAAGAGATATCAATTGCTACATAATGTATTTTTTTCACCAAATATTCAATATATTTATCTACTTTATTAGAAACTAATAATCACCCACATGTGTAAGTACCTTATATACGTGACTAAACATGTTAAAATGAAGATTATCAGACTGTTATTTCATATTTCTTCCTTAACTCATCCCCAAACAATCTATATTCACATTATTTACTCTAAAAAGAATACTGCTAGTCAGTTTTTCTGAAATAATTAGGAAGAGAAGAAGAGAACGCATTCATGGACTCCCTAAGATGTGCTAGGCACAAAGCAGGGAGTTTTCACATATTCTCATGACAAAACACACCTCCACATGATCTACACAGAAGAGGATCATTAAATGTACATTTAAATTATTTGTATCAGTACATGCAATATTAGATTTTACTGTTAACTTGCCTCTTATGTCTGGTAGGCTATTTCATTACCTTCTCTAATTATAAGTAGCTACAATGTGCCAGGAATTGTGTAAAGCAATGAAAAACAACGTAAGGGGGGAAAAAAGATACTCCCCTCCCCACACTCAGGGAGTTCTATCTAGTACACCAATTTCAATATACTTCTTTGTTAAAATTTAACTTTCTACTAGCTAAGTGTAGGTTAAGAACCTGGGTTTGAGACTTGACACTCACCTTACCTAGAAAATTTTCATACTGTGGTATCCTAATTCAGTGAGAAGCAATTCTTGGCACAGTAAGTACTTAATAAATGGTACCCATGACCATCAATAAGGTGTCCTGGTGGCACAGTGGTTAAAGCACTTGGCTGCTAACCAAACGGTCAGCAGTTAGAACCCAGTCGCTTATACCATTAGCTGCTAAGAAAAGTCTGCTGAACAAAGAAAGGTCCATAGATTTACTCATATAGTTAACTAAACATCCTTTTTTAATAAAATAAAACAGTCCCTCTGGTCCATGCTACTCTACATAAAAATAACAACTACCTTTATCAATCATTTACCGTGTACCATTAGGCTCTACAGGAACAGGAACTTTATCTTACTTCTGTATCCCCATTCGATTTTTAAACAACAAATATTTACTGCCTACTATATGCAGAGCTTTGGATATATCACTAAAACAATTAAACAAAAAAGATCCTAAATTGTGGAGCTTATGTTATAGAAAGAGAGGGGAACTAAAATCAACAATAAACGTAATGAAATTATACGGAAGTTAGAAGAAAACGACAATGGAAAAAATTAAAACTAGAGCAGGAACTTCCACCTGCACCCAAGATAGAGTGAAAAGGACAGGAGTTACCCTCCTGCCTCACCAAAAAAACCCACAAATATAAATATATATATATAAATTTAAGAAACTAAAGTTTTCAAATACCAGACATGAAGTATAAAGTAACAAATACAGTGATCCGCAACAGAAAGCCAACAAAGGAGGTGAGCGCTACAAATGCCCCAGCTCTGTGTCTTGAGAGTGTCTAGGCTGCAGCATGGGGAAAGAGAATCTAGGCAGAACTCAGCAAACACGCCACACCGATGAGATGGATTTAGGAGTCACAGGAAACTAAGGCATCTAGAGATCACAGGAGAAAGTACCAAAAAGGAAAGAGCAGCACACAGAGAAAAACCCGGAGATCCATAGACGGTCCTCCTTGAATTCAGCACAGGCAAGGGAGGAAACTGCCCAAAGTCAGAGAAAAACATAAACCAAAAGGATTAGAGAACAATGCAGTCACTCAAACAGGGTATGAAACGGTACCTGTTCCCAAAAGCCAAACTGGAAATACTCAATTTACAAACGATAAAATCTTTAACACTGCCTCAACAAATATGTTCAATTTTATTCCAGTTCTTTGCACCTTAGTATATATAGAATACTCAAGAAGCTCATGTCTCAGTAATGAAAAAAAAGTTAGTTCTAAATTTGCCTAGCAAATCATAAAGCAAGACCTAAAAGGATCAAACTGTTTCCAAATAACTGCATCTCAGAAAAAAACTCAAGAATATTTATAGAATAGTAAAATATCCAAGACCCAACAAGATAAAATTCACAATGGCTGGCATCTATTAAAAAATTATCAACCATACAAAGAAGCAGGAAAATGCAACCCATAAAGAGGAGAATAATTATTATGAAGAGAATAATCAAAACTGATTCAGAACTAAAATGCTGTTGTTGTTGCTGTTGTTAGGTGCTGTCAAGTTGGTTCCGACTCATAGCGACCCTATAGGACAGAGTAGCACTGCCCCATAGGATTTCCAAAGAGTGGCTGGTGGATTCGAAATCTCTACCTGTGGTTAGCAGCCAAGCTCTTAACCACTACGCCACCAGGGCTCCCAGAACTAACATAATTGTTAAAATTAGCTGACAATGACATTAAACGTTATTATAACAATATATTTGTATGTTCAAAGAGTTAAATAGAGACCTAGAAGACATAAAAGGATCCAAATAAAACATCCAGAGATGAAAAGTATAATGTCTGATATGGGATTAAAAGCAGGATATATATAAAAAAAAATTCGTCAACTTCAAGACATAGCAATAGAAACAAAACCAAAACCAAAAAAAAAAAAAAAAGGTGAAAAGAACAGTAGTGAGCAGTGGGACGATTTCAAGCAGCCTAATACATAAGTAAATAGAGTCCCAAAAGGTTGTGGGAGGGAGGATATTTGAAAAATAACAGCCAAATTTTTTCCAAATTTGATAAAAATTATAAACCCACAAATTAAAGAAGCTCAACAAACCCCAAGCACAAGAAACATGAAGAAAACTATACCAAGGTCCATCATAATCAAATTGCTCAAACCACTGATAACAAGAAAACATAAAAAGCAGTCAGAGAAAAAAACTTATGTTATATACACAGGAACAAACATAAGGATAACTCAGATTTCTTGTCAGAAACAACAGAAGTAACAAGATAATGGAGGAACATCTTTAAATTAAAAAAGAAAAACCGTCAGTCTCTAATTTTATAGTCAGTAAAAATATCTTTAAAAAAACAAAGATGAAATAAAGACTTCTGAAAACAAAAGAAGAATTCACTACCAGTAGAGCTAGACTAAAGACATGTTAAAAATAGTTCTTCAGTTTTTAAAATGTTGATTTTGAAACGTCCATTAGATATCCAAGCAGAGATATCAACTAGGTAGCTGGATAGACTGTCCAGAGTTAAGGAAAGAATTTTGGGATGATAATATAAATCTGGGAGTCTTCAGTATATAGGGGGAATATTCAAAGCCAGCTGCTTTTAAATAAAGCAGTCACGGGCTCAATAAAAATGAACTGAATGAATCAAAAGTTCTAAGCACTTTACAGTATTAACTATTTCATCCTAACGAAAACCTTATGAAGTACGAATTATTATCCACATTTTATAGAAGAAGAAATGAAGGCACAGAGTTTAGTAACTTGCCCAAGGTCACATAGTTAGGAGGTATATTTGAGGATTGCTTTAATAGCTAATGGCTAATGAAATATTTTCAAAAGGCGGGTTCCTAAATAAAGAAAAGTAGTGTGAAGTTATTAGTTAGACTGCCCATGTTGTTGTTATTGTTAGGTGCCATCAGGTCGATTTTGACTCGCAGCAACCCAATGTGACAGAGTAGAACTGCTCCATAGGGTTTCCTAGGCTGTAATCTTTACGGCAGCAGACCACAAGGTCTTTCTCCCACGGAGCCGCTGAGTGGGTTCAAACCATCAGCTCGGTAAACAGCCAAGTACTTAACTGTTTGCACCACCAGGGCTTTTTGATGCTGCCGGCGGGTGGGGGAGGCATTAGAATCATATCCTCAGACTATTAGCAAATGAAGTGTAGTCAAAGATTTAATAAGCCTAAAAACAAATTCCAAAAATCCATAATTAA